TTAATCCGCTTGACCATCACGACCGGACAAAAGGAAGTGATAGCCGAGGCTATATGAACCACTTCCCCGCCGGCACTCGGATGGTAATCTTGGGCATAGCATTTTATCAAATCACCTCATTCTTTGGGGCACACGTGAGGAACACAAATGCAAACAAGCCTGAATGGTCCCCAGGACTATATACAACTGAAAACTCACACCCCAGAAGTGACTCGAACCCATACTCCCACAACTGGTATGTACAGGGACGCCTTAATCCGCTTGACCATCACGACCGGACAAAAGGAAGTGATAGCCGAGGCTATATGAACCACTTCCCCGCCGGCACTCGGATGGTAATCTTGGGCATAGCATTTTATCAAATCACCTCATTCTTTGGGGCACACGTGAGGAACACAAATGCAAACAAGCCTGAATGGTCCCCAGGACTATATACAACTGAAAACTCACACCCCAGAAGTGACTCGAACCCATACTCCCACAACTGGTATGTACAGGGACGCCTTAATCCGCTTGACCATCACGACCGGACAAAAGGAAGTGATAGCCGAGGCTATATGAACCACTTCCCCGCCGGCACTCGGATGGTAATCTTGGGCATAGCATTTTATCAAATCACCTCATTCTTTGGGGCACACGTGAGGAACACAAATGCAAACAAGCCTGAATGGTCCCCAGGACTATATACAACTGAAAACTCACACCCCAGAAGTGACTCGAACCCATACTCCCACAACTGGTATGTACAGGGACGCCTTAATCCGCTTGACCATCACGACCGGACAAAAGGAAGTGATAGCCGTGTGCCCCAAAGAATGAGGTGATTTGATAAAATGCTATGCCCAAGATTACCATCCGAGTGCCGGCGGGGAAGTGGTTCATATAGCCTCGGCTATCACTTCCTTTTGTCCGGTCGTGATGGTCAAGCGGATTAAGGCGTCCCTGTACATACCAGTTGTGGGAGTATGGGTTCGAGTCACTTCTGGGGTGTGAGTTTTCAGTTGTATATAGTCCTGGGGACCATTCAGGCTTGTTTGCATTTGTGTTCCTCACGTGTGCCCCAAAGAATGAGGTGATTTGATAAAATGCTATGCCCAAGATTACCATCCGAGTGCCGGCGGGAAGTGGTTCATATAGCCTCGGCTATCACTTCCTTTTGTCCGGTCGTGATGGTCAAGCGGATTAAGGCGTCCCTGTACATACCAGTTGTGGGAGTATGGGTTCGAGTCACTTCTGGGGTGTGAGTTTTCAGTTGTATATAGTCCTGGGGACCATTCAGGCTTGTTTGCATTTGTGTTCCTCACGTGTGCCCCAAAGAATGAGGTGATTTGATAAAATGCTATGCCCAAGATTACCATCCGAGTGCCGGCGGGGAAGTGGTTCATATAGCCTCGGCTATCACTTCCTTTTGTCCGGTCGTGATGGTCAAGCGGATTAAGGCGTCCCTGTACATACCAGTTGTGGGAGTATGGGTTCGAGTCACTTCTGGGGTGTGAGTTTTCAGTTGTATATAGTCCTGGGGACCATTCAGGCTTGTTTGCATTTGTGTTCCTCACGTGTGCCCCAAAGAATGAGGTGATTTGATAAAATGCTATGCCCAAGATTACCATCCGAGTGCCGGCGGGGAAGTGGTTCATATAGCCTCGGCTATCACTTCCTTTTGTCCGGTCGTGATGGTCAAGCGGATTAAGGCGTCCCTGTACATACCAGTTGTGGGAGTATGGGTTCGAGTCACTTCTGGGGTGTGAGTTTTCAGTTGTATATAGTCCTGGGGACCATTCAGGCTTGTTTGCATTTGTGTTCCTCACGTGTGCCCCAAAGAATGAGGTGATTTGATAAAATGCTATGCCCAAGATTACCATCCGAGTGCCGGCGGGGAAGTGGTTCATATAGCCTCGGCTATCACTTCCTTTTGTCCGGTCGTGATGGTCAAGCGGATTAAGGCGTCCCTGTACATACCAGTTGTGGGAGTATGGGTTCGAGTCACTTCTGGGGTGTGAGTTTTCAGTTGTATATAGTCCTGGGGACCATTCAGGCTTGTTTGCATTTGTGTTCCTCACGTGTGCCCCAAAGAATGAGGTGATTTGATAAAATGCTATGCCCAAGATTACCATCCGAGTGCCGGCGGGGAAGTGGTTCATATAGCCTCGGCTATCACTTCCTTTTGTCCGGTCGTGATGGTCAAGCGGATTAAGGCGTCCCTGTACATACCAGTTGTGGGAGTATGGGTTCGAGTCACTTCTGGGGTGTGAGTTTTCAGTTATATATATATATGTATATAACAGCGTAGCAGTTTCCATCTGCGTGTTTGCTTGAACGAAACTGTGCAGCATACATAGATCTACGCACGAAGGCTTGTATATGTTTACTCATAAATGGATGTAAACAAGGATGTTGGAATGTACACAAGTTTGCAAGAATGTCAAAGAAATATATAGCTGCAACAATAATAATGCTTCTCTTAGGAGACGATATCGTATCTCTCTCCCTCCCTCCCTTCTTCTGTCCCTCCCTCAGAACATCAACTATCCCCCCTCTCCCCTCCATCCCCCACGAAACAAAACACACAAGAACGTACATAAGAAACTATCCATCTTGACGAGATAAGAATCGCATTGCGTGTCACCCAAAGATGAATTTCCATTTTCTTTTGCTAAAATGTGCATTGTCGAAAAATCGACACGACAAAACAAGAAACACAGAATTACTGAATAAGCGAGCTTGGAGGCTCAGAGGTTGGGAGCTTGGAGGTTCAGAGGTTGGGAGCTTGGAGGCTCAGAGGTTGGGAGCTTGGAGGCTCAGAGGTTGGGAGCTTGGAGGCTCAGAGGCTGGGAACTTGGAGGCTCAGAGGTTGGGAGCTTGGAGGCTCAGAGGTTGGGAGCTTGGAGGCTCAGAGGTTGGGAGCTTGGAGGCTCAGAGGTTGGGAGCTTGGAGGCTCAGAGGTTGGGAGCTTGGAGGCTCAGAGGTTGGGAGCTTGGAGGCTCAGAGGTTGGGAGCTTGGAGGCTCAGAGGTTGGGAGCTTGGAGGCTCAGAGGTTGGGAGCTTGGAGGTGATTCTGATTCAGAAACAATTTATTCGTGGTGATTTAGACACATCATTATAATAGGGGTTTGGATTATAGCAGGTATTCATCAGTCTGAATCAGACTTTACATTTTTGGCATTAACTGACTATCATTTATATTATTGCTTGGATGGTGAGATATATTTGGAAAACAGAGTGGTGTACCATTAGACAAATTTGGGCATAATACAGTATATTTCAAGGGAGGACGATTAAGACGATTTAATGAACTTATCTAAACTAATTATACCAATGTGTTATTGAAATTTCGCCCATCCAAAGTATTCTTCAACAGCAAATTCTGGGGGCTTCCCCGCATCATAGTCACTGGAAATACAACACATACAATGTAGATCTGATCAATGGGACTCAGAATACCTGTCAGTAAGTCATCTCTTTATGACAGCAATTCCTTCATAATTGCAAATATCCAGTTGAAAAGTCTGCCTGCTTTATCTGCTGACTATTGCTGTATTCTGTCCAGCAGACCAGCGACACAATTATGTACACCAATCATTCTTAAGTTGTGTATTCTAACAAGTAAGTTGATATTTGTGGAAAAGTGGGAATGAATAATAAAGAGTGTCAAAAAAAATGGTTGAGGTTAATTGGTCGATACGTGATGCCCTTCAGACAGAATATTATTCGTTTATGAATGATTTCCTCAAGTGTATGTGTGTGTGTGTGTGTGTGAGTGTAGACATGAGGTGAGGCTGGAGATTGTAGTGAGTGTGAGGATGGGGACCCAAGATACATCTTGAGCACTTCAGCCAAATCAGCCAATTGTAGATCCCGAAATTCGCATCCATACACACTAAGACATTACCTGTTAATTAACTCCTTTCTACCAGATATCAAGATGACCCAATTCACTGAAATTAAAAAAAAGTTCTATACTTTCCGGTCCATAACAACTTCAGAATTTGAGTATATATGCCCCCTCCCCAGACGCTTTTCAGAATACTTTTCCGGAAGCTCTTCTGCCTTGAAACTTTAGCTTAGGATGTAGATAAATCGAGTCCTGTGAGATGAAAGCAACTTCAGCCCATTTGGTAAGACTAATCGTTATGTTGAGAGTTATCGTAGCAACAACCACTTGAGTTGCTCGAAGGGGGGTTGAGGATGCTAGTTTGGCAACTCAGGTGATCAAATTATCTTTTGAAAGTTGGGTTAAATGATATTTGAGTGTTTTGAGAAGATAGCAAAGGGGAAAAGAGAGAGAGTAAACAGGAGCATGGAACAGGTGCAATAAACAGGAGCAGGTACAACAGGTGCAATAAACAGGAGCAGGTACAACAGGTGCAATAAACAGGAGCAGGTACAACAGGTGAAATAAATAGGAGCATGCAACATGTGCAATAAGCAGGATCATGCAGCAGGTACAATAAACAGGACCATGCGACATATCCAAAAACCAGGAGCACTGCCTCGATCACCAGTGACGTTACAGCTTTTGGAGTCTCCTGTCACTTGCTTGCAATAGTACTGTCAATCATCTCCCTGCAGTGCTGTCAGTCATGCCGCTGGCATGATGACCATTGCAAGCACCATCAGCATTTGCGTGGCAGGTTGTCCTGGTGGAGACAGATGAGACCGTGGTGGACTGAAACGCACTTTAATTAAACAACTGAATATCAACCACAGTTGTCGATGGAAACTGAAGACCGCCAGGGGGAAGCTGGAACATTTTCTTAAGAGTGTTGTATTGCAAAGTGCAAAGGTGTTGAGTGTTGAGTGCAAAGGTGTTGAGTGTTGAGTGCAAAGGTGTATTGGCCGGCGGTACGGCGCCAGCTGGCGTCCGGTACCGTGATGTGTGAGTGTTGGCTTGACGTGCTTACAACATCGCGATTCACATCAAGTCGCGGTACACACACACACTCTCTGGATGTACCGTGTACACATTGGAAGGTTCCGTCACCGTATGGGGGGGTACAGTCATGCCCACACATCCAGAAGTACTGTCATTATCTAGAAGTACCTCCATCATTCGGAAGTTCCTCCACCATACGGAAGTACTTCCATCATACGGCAGTACCTCCATCATTCGGAAATACGTTCATCATCCAGATAAAGTACCTCCACCATCTAGAAGTACCACCACCTTCTGGAAGTACCTCCAGCATCTAGGAGTACCACCACCTTCTGGAAGTACCTCCAGCATCTAGGAGTACCACCACCTTTCCGGAAGTACCACCACCATCCGGAAGTACCTGAACCATATAGAAGTACCTCCACTATCCGGAAGTACCTCCACCATCCGGAAGTACCTCCACCATCCGGAAGTACCTCCACCATCCGGAAGTACCTCCGCCATCAGGAAGTACCTCCACCATCCGGAAGTACCTCCGCCATCCGGAAGTACCTCCGCCATCCGGAAGTACCTCCGCCATCCGGAAGTACCTCCACCATCCGGAAGTACCTCCACCATCCGGAAGTACCTCCACCATCCGGAAGTACCTCCGCCATCCGGAAGTACCTCCACCATCCGGAAGTACCTCCACCATCCGGAAGTATCTCCGCCATCCGGAAGTACCTCCACCATCCGGAAGTACCTCCACCATCCGGAAGTACCTCCACCATTCGGAAGTACCTCCACCATCCGGAAGTACCTCCACCATCCGGAAGTACCTCCGCCATCCGGAAGTACCTCCGCCATCCGGAAGTACCTCCACCATCCAGAAGTACCTCCACCATCCGGAAGTACCTCCACCATCCGGAAGTACCTCCACCATCCGGAAGTACCTCCACCATCCGGAAGTACCTCCACCATCCGGAAGTACCTCCACCATCCGGAAGTACCTCCAACCTCCGCAGTACGGCACCTGTTGACCACACCAGCCACACCTCATGCGCTCATCCACACAAGGTGTGACTTCTTATCTCTTATCTAATATATCTCTTCTTTCCTTTGATATCAAGTTAACAAAATGATGCTAACACAAAATAGAGTGAAATGCCATGAAAATACAAAAGCATTTCAATCCTCAAATCAGAGAGAAAACCATAAATTCTAATGCCTTAATTCGTTAATTAGGTTGTTAAGGACAGACGAACTCATGCCCTTGTTCAAACTATTGTCTTGACTCCTTTAACGCGAGTCAGAGTTAAGACAGTCGATGAAAAACAGTTTCTCTCTGTCTCTGTCTGTCTGTCTCTCTCTATCTCTCTCTCTCTCTCTCTCTCTCTCTCTCTCTCTCTCTCTCTCTCTCTCTCTCTCTCTCTCTCTCTCTCTCTCTCTCTCTCTCTCTCTCTCTCTCTCTCTCTCTCTCTCTCTCTCTCTCTCTCTCTCTCTCTCTCTCTCTCTCTCGCGCAGAGAAAGAAGCATCAGAACCGCAATCTGTAGGAAACAGGAGCAGGAACAGGTGCAATAAACAGGCGTGTGCAACAGGTGCAATAAACAGGAGCATGCAACAGGCGCAAGAAACAGGAAGTCGCCACATCAGTACAACTCTTCAACATGACGCCCAACAGAGAGCAACAACATAGTCAGTCAGGGCAGGAG